AAATAACAATTTCTATAATTTTTGTCTGTCTGTCTGTCGGTCTGTTTGTTCCGGCTAATCTCTGAAATGGCTGGACCGATTTGGACGGGATATTTTTTTGGCAGTTAGCTGATGTAATAAGGAGTAACTTAGGCTACTTATATTTTAGAAAAATAAAGTTATAAACAACGCGGACGAAGTCGCGGGAACAGCTAGTAGTAAATATAAATAGATAAGGAAGATTTTATTTTGAAGAAACAAAACTCTGGAACCACAGCACCGATTTTAGAAATGATTTCATTACTTGAAAAAGGCATTATTTCAAAATGACACAGGCTGTATATATTTATATTATGTTAATATTTTCAAAACCCACAAACTTATGATCAGCACGCAGCAGAAGGAAGGGCAGGTCACTAGTATTTTTAAATAAGCTTAACAGTCATTGTCTTTGTATTAAACTTTGTTGAAACTTAGTTGTAGGATTTTGTTACAATGTACCACGGTTATCCTTACTACTTACTAAGGATAACCGTGGTACATTGTGATGTGGTTAACAGTAGGCACCATTTTGTACATATATAATTATAATGAAGCATTCTATGATGATGAATAAAGTAACCCTTATAGTCCATTCCTCAATACATAAAAAGAATCATAACATACATTGTTTTTGGAAATACATGGAAACAAATATACCAATACAAATAATTGAATCCAAAATGACGGCCTCGATGTTCTAGCAGTTAACCGCTGCACATCGCCATAGTTCCGATGGTCGCGGTTACGATTCCTCGCACTGTGTAAACATTTGTTAACGACTATTAATGTTTGGATGTACATCAATATATATAACACCCCGACACATACAAATATTTATAAAAACAATATATGTAAGTATTTATAACAGTTGCCTAGTATATACCTAGTTATATACCCATAACACAAGATCTACTTAGCTTGGGACTAGATGCAGCTGTGTGAGTATGAGAATCGAATCCGCAACCATTGGAAGTAAGATGAATTACTCATTCATTTCATGAACAATTTTTTTTGTTTATTTATTGATACACAAACGAAGCAAAAGATTACCATAATAATTTTACCTATCTCACTGAAATATCTGGCATGAAGATATTTAAACCACCACTTAAAACACCACTAAAATATCTAGTCTTGAATTTATTTTAATTCTTTCAACAGTTTATATAAACTTATTATTAGGTAGGTACACATAGTTAAGTCGCTCTGTAGCCGTCTAGTCACGTCTATTGTGTTAGATTTTATTAAAGGACATTAAAGGGTTTATTGAATGGGGGTACTTATGATGAGTTTCGTAGTATTAAGATTCAGTAGTTCATTTATCAGCATATGATAAGAGACACATTCGAATGTGTAATTACAATAATAGTTGATTATTGCAATTCTTGTTACAATACATTTAAATTATTAAACATTCAAGGATCGTAATCTTTATAGCCAATATTAATAAAGATTTTAAATGGTAGTTCATAAATTTAAATATATTATCTCCGATCTCTCTCTAAATATATTACCGTACAAAATCAGTTAGATTTTGAAGTTACACAAATACAAAATCGGTGTCTCGCTCAGATCAAACGATTTTCTAAATATATAAGATCTCATTAATATCCGGCGTCGACCCTTTACCCTTATAAATACCATCGAATTACTAATTGATTTCATTTTGAAACGTAAACTATTATTGTAGCCTATGGACGACTGAAACACCGGGGGAGTCAAGTGTCTTGCCAATCCTAACCTAAATCCTAAAACCTTATAAATCCCAAAAAACTTGTTGGAAAATCACATAAAGTAGTCTCTAGAAAAAACCTCGGCAGGTAGTTTATTTCATAATCTCAGTATGCGTTAGAAGAAATTTCTTTAAAACCTGGTTATGCGATAATGACGAATAGTTCAACTACTGACAATATGAATAAAGATATCATTAATGGCGAATCATTAAGCTAATAACTTACCTCACAGGTGTCTATAGGATTCTCCCCATTCCGCAACCTATCTGCAACTTGTTTGGGTATCATTTGGTACAAGAGTTCATCGGTTCTTTTCATCTCCTCGTCAAGCTTTCTCATAGATTCTTCGAGTTTCTTGCTCTTCTGTTGTTCCTGGTCTAATGCTAATTTCAACTCTACTGATTGTTGAGTACCAGCTAGCATGAGATCTCTGAAATATATCCCCAAAATCAATAAAATATAGTGCTTTGTTTGCTACTGCTGTTTATACAAAATGGTAGAAAGATATGTTAATGACCATACAACCACGGCTACATCTCTAAGAGGAGATCTATGAACGAAAAGTTTATATAGATGAAGACTTTTTTATTCTCATTAAATGTTGGAATATAATTGTTATATTGTATTAATTTATTTGTACTAAGTAGTATTATACATAATAATATAACGAAAATACCTGCTAAAGTCGTGCATTGATAAATCATTAATATAAAGACCAGTTGACACGAGCGCTGATAGATCTGGCATCACTGGTGTCCCGAGGTACATCATCAGCCGCCAGTTGTCCATGTAGATCATCTGACCTGGTCATATATTAATAAAAAATATCATTTAATGTCTTTACAATAAATGATCATGTTGTTCTTAATTTATATCTACATATATTATAGTGAATCCCCATTTTCCTTGGTTATGTCATAACTTGAGAACGACTTAATAATTTCTTTCTTCTTGTCGCGTACAAGCAGCAACAAAACGCAACACAAAAGGAGCGTTCTGATTGGAGCGCACACCCATCCAATTCAAATACGCATCGTAATGTAACAGACTTAAAATATCAACCGATCGATCTAACGTACTTTTGTTCACTCCACCAAATTTGTAATAAATAGTATATTTGCCATTAAATTCGAGACTATCAAGCGAAATCTATCATTTCTACACCCCGTAATCTGCTGAAGCCATCATCATCTACCATCTGAGCATTCGAGCCGCATCATCACGTACCATTTGACCTTCGAGCCGAACGATCAAGCAAGAACGAGCGATCTTACTGAGGACTTCATCAGATTACTCCACATCAAGACGTCTACATTATCAAAACTGAACCTTGGGCAGCAGCAACGCATAGTGGGAGACCTGGACAGACGAGATACCTGGCTGATCAACTCCGATAATACAGCGCAAATCGGTACGACCACCAGATATCCTATCCTACCCCTATCCTGTACTTGTGTTCTGTATTGTGGTAAATATCTATTGCAGTGTCTGAGACGCAGTGAGTTACCGGTATTGCACAACAGAGCAGCTTGCCGTCAGCTAGCAACTGCTTCTACTGTTTCATACGTGAGTACTCCACCTTTCACTGTCTACCAATATGAGTGAACAATCATCCACATTAAAGTCTCATTCTAAATCACCCTGTAAAATATCAATTACAGGCGATGACAACACGAATCAGTTAATTCGTAATTTAGTTAAAAAACGATCTATTATCAAAGGCCGGTTTACCAGATTTCAAAATTTTATCAATACGTTTGAAGTCAATGCAATTTTATCTCGTCAAACAAAGGCAGATTTAAAATTACGAATCCAAAACGCAGCAAATCTGTTCTCTGAGTTTGATGAGCTTCAATCTAAATTAGAAGAACTAGTATTAGAGATAGATTTAGACGAGCAAATCGAACAGAGAGGTCAGTTTGAAGACAGCTATTTCAACACACTGTCTCAAGCTGAATGTATGCTCAGTGGAGAAGATGACGCGTCATATTCCAAATCATGCCCCAATTCTAACGATTCCTTAAAACTTCCCGTTATTTCGGTACCTACCTTCACAGGCCTCAGCGATCAGTGGCTACAGTATAGGGACATCTTCTTATCATTGGTACATAATAATACGAATATAAGTAGCATTCAAAAGTTTCACTATCTAAAATCATCGTTAAAAGGCACTGCAGCTATGGTTATCGATTCGTTAGAATTTTCGGCTAATAATTATTCGGTGGCATGGGAACTACTCTTAAATCGGTTCAATAATAGTAGATTATTAATACATAACCACGTAAAGGCATTATTTACTCTTCAAACCGTGACTAAGGAGTCGCCAGATCAATTGCGATATTTAATCGACACTATTTTAAAAAATCTACGTGCATTAAAACTGTTAGGTGAACCAGTCGATAGCTGGGATACACTTATTATGTACATAATTGTATCTAAATTAGACAAAACATCCGAACGCGAATGGGAACAATATAAAATCACAGTTTTAAAACTTTCTGGTAACTCCGAATCGCGATTGACGGTAGATACGTTATTAGCATTCCTAAAAGATCGGGCCGACATGTTAGAAACATTACTTGCGTCGCACAACAATTATAAACACGATTCAAATAATAAACAAATTGCAAACACGATAAAACACAACGTAAATTGTAATGTTTCTAGCAATAAGCCACAAATTCACACGAAGCGATCTTGTTTATTCTGTGACAACGGTTATCATCCATTATATGCGTGTCAAACATTTATAAGCACTGATCTAGATTCTAGGCTAAGGTTCGTCAGTGAAAATAAATTATGCGACAACTGCTTGCGACCGGGGCATCGCCCGAATGAATGCAGGTTCGGTGGATGTAGGAAGTGTAACAAAAAACATAACTCATTGATTCATAAAGATAGTGAAGTTTGCAACTTGTCACCGGTAAGCGAACGGAACACAGCTGCATTATCTATGCACTCTTCATTCACCGAGGCAGGGGGGCGCCCCGCAGCCGCCGTCATAGGTACCGATCTTAACATTAACGAGTATTCACGCTTATCTACGCACACTAATGCATTATGCGCTCAGTATCGCTGTATGCAGCCAGTTCTTTTATCGACAGCGTTAGTCGATGTTTTTGACAAATATAATAATATTCACACCGTTCGCGCGCTTTTAGACTCGGGTAGCGAGCGATGTATTATGACGCAATATTTATGCGATTTACTAAATTTACCAATTATACAGTCCACTCAAGAAATTCGTGGGGTTGGTAATTCGATAACACAGTCGACAAAGATGTGTGATATTGAATTGAAATCCCGTATTAGCTCATACACTGCGTGCATTCGATGTATTGTAATGCCGCATATAACATCTACGCTGCCAGCGATACCGAAACAATACGCGCAGTTTCGTATCCCTGACAGTGTGCAGTTAGCAGATCCGTACTTTTGTGAATCCCAGAGTATAGATATTTTAATAGGCGCAGATAAATTCTGGGATTTATTAAGTAATGGTAGAATGAGATTACCTAACGGTCCGTTTCTGCAAAATACACGATTAGGCTGGATTGTATCGGGTTCCGTAGGTGTAAACACGCAGAATACCGGTCAAATCCAGTGTAATTTTAATTACGTTACCGATACTCAATCACAACAATTTAAGGACCTTGAAAAGGTTACTAAGTCATGTGAGACGCAAACTGATGACCAGCGAGAGTGCGAAAATCCTTTCATTAAAACTACGATGCGAAATAATGATGGAAGGTTTTGCGTTCGCATTCCTCTCAAGTCATCACCACATGAATTAGGCGAATCATATCCTCAAACCCTAAGGCGATTTTCATCGTTAGAAAGGCAATTACAAAAACATGATTATTACAAATTTCTAGACAAATTATTTTTCTTTTCTACATTTTCTCAATTATACCGTATGAAGAATATATTTGTATGTATACGTCAATTTATACACTACGAACGAAATTTTAAAATTAATAGGCTACTATTAACGAGCCACAAACGCAAACGTTTACCTTATGCAGCACCACAGGCGCTTCGATATACCATACGGGAGAAGTGGTGGCCTATTGCAAGTAGGAAGCTTGCAAGAAAGATTTCACATGAGTGTATTCTATGCAAGCGTATACTCGGTAAAACCTTGCAACCTCTCATGGCTAATCTTAGGCTTAGGAAACAGTTGAATGCTACTTATTCGTCTATGACCTATGGTGTTGATTATGTGGGACCTGTGTTTATATTGAATCGTAAAGGAATGGGCGCTAAATCCGTTAAGTCATATAAATATAAAAACAAATGTTTTCGTGCATGTTTCATGACACGCACAGTACATTTGAAACTTGCAATCGATCTATCCACTGAAGCATACATTATCGTTTTGAAACAATCTGTTTTGCATCATGGTAAACCGCCTAAAATAATTATTCAACTTAATAAAATCAAATTTTCACATGTGCTACAAACAAATTTTCCAAATTATTATCTAATTATTGTAAGACATATAAGTCAATCTAGTTTATTTCCCTCTATTCTCCTCATTTGGTGGGCTTTTGGATGGTGGAATATGCACAAATTATTTTGCGCACGGTGTAGGTAACGGTCCTAAATTCTCTACCACTTTCCACAATGATACCCTATCCTAATAACCTTCAACCCTTAAGTCCTGCACACTCCCTGGTTGGTCGTCCGCTTATAGCACTAGTATGTCAGGACATGAGGACTGATACAGGGAATTACTCTATCAGGATCAAGGAGTTGAGCAGATTTGTCATCAACTTTCGATGAGATGGGGACGAAAACAAATGTCGGAGCAGCAAACAAGCGAAGACTCAACCGCAGTTCACATTGGAACCACTCAAGAGCTTCCAAGGCCGGGGGCATGTCGCGTACAAGCAGCAACAAAACGCAACACAAAAGGAGCGTTCTGATTGGAGCGCACACCCATCCAATTCAAATACGCATCGTAATGTAACAGACTTAAAATATCAACCGATCGATCTAACGTACTTTTGTTCACTCCACCAAATTTGTAATAAATAGTATATTTGCCATTAAATTCGAGACTATCAAGCGAAATCTATCATTTCTACACCCCGTAATCTGCTGAAGCCATCATCATCTACCATCTGAGCATTCGAGCCGCATCATCACGTACCACTTCTATTTCTTTTTTCTATTTCTGTTCTTATAGTACGAAAATTTAAGGAAATTGGTCAGGAACATTCTGAAAACTTAACGATTACTTTACGCGTTTGACAGTTTGCAGTTCGCATTTAAAATTATTATATGTATCTAAGTAGATTTAAAATTTCAATTTATTTGTTGTTCTTTTACTACATTGATGTTTAAGTAGCTCTTACTCTCTTATATCTCGTATGAACAAGTCACATATGTACAGATAATAGGAACATATTATACATAAATATACTGTATTCTTAAATTTATAATATTGTGAAGCGAAATAAAATATTAGCACTTCAATCATCAGAGAATTTTGTTACTTGAAAATCTTCTGTAACATTATTCATAAATTCAAAACAATAGAGCAAAATTACAAAGGGAAAACTGCATTTTGCATATTGTCTTAAAAATCGGCGTAAGTTACTTTAGGAAAACAAATATTTTTGTTAATGTAAATAACGTTAACAAAAATATTTTTTAAATTAGTGTAATGTGTAAAAATTTCACAACAATCACAAGTACATATATAGGGAGATATAGGTTAAAATTCCTGAAGATTATTGTTGGAAACATTTTTTTAGTTACTTAAGCCACAGATAACATAATATTACATACTAATAAAGGCTTACGTAACTAAAAAAATATTCCTACATAAAAATAAAACATTCCTATATATAAGGCTGCCCATTCATGGATATATGGAATACACAAATTGGAGAATAAGTAATCGATTAAATAGTGTATCTGCGATTGTAATTTGTGTTAGAGTTCATAATTACTTCAATGAAATTCCACGTTTTTTAAATTTGCATTTGCATGTCTGGTATTTCAAATTAAAGTCACTGAAGTGATTGTACTTAGACATTTTAAATGGAAATATTCTAGAATGTGGCGGGTAAAGAGGAGAGATTTTTAATTTAACAAATAGTAGATTTTATAAATGTCAATGAGCTATTAATAACAAAATGACGGAAATTTAAACAGTGACTACTGGCACTTTACACATTTCTCTAGGCAATTTGGATTAATATTGTATTAGTAGTCATGTATGAATATTTGTTGAATAAAGGAAAGTACTTCTATATTCACCTACCGCCATTTTATTATCCACGCCCGTATCATTTTACGAGAGTTATAAAAACACAGTGGTTAAAATGAATGAAATTAATTTCGAAATATGTTCATACATACCCAATTTCTAATAATAATTTAATATTATTAGTACTTTTTCTAATACAATGATAATTATTGACAACCATGTGCATGTGTAACTAAGAATAAATACTACGGTGTAATATACTAATAATATAAGACATATTATACTATTGGTGTAAATAATATAAATAAAGATAACGTGAAATAATGTGCAATTGTTTGTGTGTTCTGGTGCTGTGTACATACGTTTGTTTTCGGTTTTTTATTGACTGTTGACGGAAATCTATTACAGAAATATTTAGAATCAAATTGTCTCGTTGAATCCCATGTTCCGTTCAAACGGTAATCGAAATTGCCACGGCCTGAGTAGAGGTTCGAAATCCTAACGGTGCCCTCCGACTAAAGTCGTATCCGTCAGGAAGAATTTAGCCTTTAGTTACTCCATAAGTCCATCCCCGGTTTGGAGTGCTCACTGCACCCATTTTTGTCCGGTTAAGTTAGAAATGTCTGCGTCTAACAGCATTAGATACGCAAAATTTCAGTAAGAACGACTTCATATTATCCTAATATATTACATGTTCAAGCAGAGTTGCTAAGTACATCTACTATTGATTCTAGTAATTTTTGGGAGTGTATTCTATTTTTAAAGTAATGCTACATAGATTTCTCTCAACGTGAAATGTGTCAACATTTTGGTGTTCGCTAGAAATACTTCTGATTTGTATATATTTTATATAATACAACATAAGTACAATTAGTGCTCTGTCCACTAAGCTCGGTGAAGTTCGATACCTAAGGTGATCTTTTCTATGGGACTACCTTTGAGATGTAAATTAATAATGTCAGGCAATCGTCTCCCGTCATACGCATAGCGTTTCTTTATGGGCGAGTCTGCAAAATATAACTTATTCTTTAGAAGTTGATTATAATTATAGTAACGATCAGAAGATAGACGCAATGTTAATTAGTGACGTCGCAGTGAACGCTAATACTCGATATTCCTATATTTCACTTGGTATATTTGAATCCAACATTAGAGAGGGACTTTTCCGCCGCCTCTCGGATTAATTTTAGTTTTCAGTCGATGTCAGTCTATATATATAACACAGATTACATAAAATCGACACACAGTTTGTACTTATCTGTCAGATTATGAAAAAAAGTTAGGATTTTGTTCCTATTAAAACAAGAGTTATTTTTATTGGTAAAAGACATCATCATCATCCTTATTTAAAGATTACTATACTGGTTACTAGACTATAATTGTGATATGTAGCTACACATAATATTACCTGTAATACAAAAACCACAGTGACAGTTTATTATCAGAAGGGCTGCTAACTTGTTTGCAATCCCAAGTAATATAATTTTGATGATGAGAGTTCAATTTGCATACTGAACTATTCTAATTCTAATATGGAATTAGAAAATGCATACATTTATTATCTCTATAAATATCAGTTACAGAATTTCGAATAATAATAATATCCACAATTCACACAACGCCATCTAGTCCCAAGCTAGATAGAGTTTGTGTTATGGGTACTAGACTATTGATATACATACATATGTACTTTTTTTTTGTAAATAATATACATAGAAAACACCCATACTGATACAAACAATCATACTCATGTTTATGTACAGTGCGAGAAATCAAACTCGCGACCATTAGTAAAGCAAAGCGGTAGCTACTCATATAGTTCGTGTACTCCGATTACCCGATTATCAATATTCTGTAGCCTGATAGTAAAATGTACGTTATGGATACGTTGATGTAATGGTTGGGTAAGAATTACTTTGCCCAAGTTACAGAGCATGCATTAATAATGACTAGATTGTTAATCAGCAAGAAAATAGAGAGTTAAACGAAAATAGATTTAATGTTGAATACAAATAGAGTTCCCATTGCAATAACAGATATTATACCGACATTATTTAAGTTCCTTATTTGAGATCTTCGCGTACTTATTAGGGATTCAGTCTTTTAGGTTGATTAAAAAAGAAATCAACGTTGTGAAATTGAATTTAAAATTTAATTAAGATATTTACTATTATATATCAAAAAATTATTGTGTTTAAGTTCATAATCGTCTGCATGAGGGAATACCTGTCTTACCAATTAATAACATTAAGAAAACAGCTTTCTTTGCAAGCTTTGTTCCTTTAAAAGTAGAGATAAAACTACTGAGTGCTTTGGTAGAAATCTATGGTTCTGGAGGCATTGCACCTCAGTCTTTTGATTTCATTTCATTCATTCATTTTATTTCATTCATTTTTTTTTGAAATGGGAACGCGTTAGGAGTGTAGATACAGCCGATGGATGGATGGTATTTGTCATTGTATGACAGTCATCATTCTGGTCAAACTTAAGCTCTACAATTTTCCTTTATCATATTTATGATAAATCATACCTACAAAAGTTTTCAAATCAAAAATAAAAATATTATGATCAACCTAAAAAAAGTTGATGATAAACTTGACTCTAACCTTTAAGTCTGAGATTCTTTTCAGTGGCAGCATCCGATTCATCAGATAGACGCATTAGCTCATTTCGTTTGTCTGTGGACTTCTCATGCATGGCTGCTTCCACAGTTACCAGTTCAAAGATATTGTTAGTACGATTTAAGATCTGAAAAAAAAATTTAAAACACTTATTATAGAGATAGTAATATTTTTTTAATTATAAAAATATTAATTTACCAAACGTGTGATATATAATATATGTGGTACCCAGCATTGAGTTATAAATTTGTTTAATTTAATTTAATGACGGGAAATGTCCTTATACAGAAACAAAAAAGAGGCAAAAATAAACATCCATTTGTAATTTTGAACAACGCTAGTTATAGTAGTATATGGAGTGACATCTTTTGTACAAAAGTTATTTTATATAATTGGAATGGTACACCAGATTACGGCCCACCTAATGTAAGTGGTAACAGTTGCAAATATATATGAACATCACAACGCACATCACGTTATCATGTAACGATCGTGATAGCACTCATGCATTTTCCGGAAGACTAAGATATATTATCCTTTATTCCATGTCATTTATGTTATCGTTGGGCCTGCTGACAGATACAGATAGTACCTATATATTAAAAGTAACACAGTTTAATACTTACAGTTTGAAATTTGAATGCGATGAGCGGTCGTACTAAATCAAACCAATTAGTAATCTTTTTCCCGACCAAATCGGGTAGTATTACCATTAATGAGTTGCCGATACTGCGTACCACCATGTCTGACCTAAAAAAGTTATATAATGGAGTTTCTGTTAAAAAAGAGATAGAGATATTTGTTCTAATTTTAGAATCATCATTGCCTTGCCTTTATTCCATTATTTGTGGTCGGCGCAGTATGTCATTCTCTTCCACTGCTCTCTATCAGTCGTCATATCTGAGCATACTCTACATATTTGTTCTAATTTTAGAATACACTAAGTAAATTTTAGTCTTTGACTCTTCTTGGGAACGAGACCTAAATGGTATCTAGCCTTAATTCAATCTACTGTGCCATACCAACGAGGATCGAATTTACTTATCGATTGATTTATTTATTGTACCGTGTAGGTATCATAAATAAATGTGAAAATATGTTCAAATTGGGCCGTATGCTTGTATGCCACAAAATACGTATTAGATAGTTGGCAGAAATAAATCCTCGTGTTTCATATGTAACATAATGAAAACCACCTGCAGGAAGCTATACATATTGCGGAAATAAAATAGCGCTAAACAATGCACACCTACTTACATATTACTGACAAACTATGCGGAATAATCGACCGTATAAATTAGTGCGGAAAAAATTGTGTAATAGATTTATTTCAGTCGTATTGAAATATTATAGCTTACCCAAATACAATACAAAAGGGGAATATCTCGAATAGTACCGACGCACTGATAGGTAGATGTTTCTCCTCTCTAGTCATCGCTAAAGACGCGAGCGTGAAGGCGCGATTGTCAAACGTCAATTGGAATGTCACGTGCACTGTATCAAATAATAACTCCTCCCTTAACAGTTCTATCCTCATATCTTTATTATAAAAGTGACGGGCTACCTGCGAAAAGGATTTTAATTAATACATATCTACAACACTTATACACTTTTCATACGAAATTCATAACAAAAGTATTGTACATATATTATCACGGAATCGATATTATACAGATTAGGTGGTTTGTTCTCAGACTAAGGTCATTCAGTCTGAAAAGGAAAGTCTTGAAAACTAATTCATTCATTTTTCAATTAATTTATTCAACAGATTTATTGGAAAATGCTAATGCATTTTGCGTTGGTACAAACAATTAAAAAACATTTTATTTGTTTGTAATCACATAACAGGCATTTGTTAATTATTTCAAATTTTGAAAATTCTTTCTGAGAAAGTAATCCACACACTGTTGTGGGACAAATATTCCAAATTTAAAAAGGAAAACAATAATATTTGTACCATATCGTGTTCAAACCAGTTCTTTTTTGTATTCAGAAAGCACAATATAAAATGATAGTATTTTCATGCCTACTGATTAATTTCAAGACATGACTTGCATCAGTAGATAATATTGGTAATATGTGACCAATAGGACCGCGTCCAAACGATGTTCACTGATCATGATTGAGATCTTAATAGAACTGACTGGTTCATTGAATATTTGGTTAATGTAGTTGCTTACAATTGACATTATGTGGTAAAGTTTAAATACACAGATACCTAATTTGTGCTGTAAGGGTTAATAAAAATCAAATTTACTTAAATGTAAAATACTTTCTCAAGCATAATAAATAAGCATATTTTACATTTGTTCTAAAAGTAAATTATATCTTTCTTTAGAATTTATTTAAAATATAAATACTTTGACTATTACTTCAACATTTGTTAGTATTACACCTACATTTAGATTGTTGAGTTAGTTGTTGTAATTTTTAACCTATTATACTTATTAGGTAGCCACGCGACCGCACTATTTGTATGAATAAAATTATTAATATGTTATAAAATGATTTTGATTTTTCAATTCAGTTGTTTTTGACTTAAATATCTATTTGTTAGTGTATATTAACAAATAGATACAATTACAGAGACTACCATATACCGTACCGGATACAGCATATTTCAGAAGTCGTTAACGAGTCGCCAACGACCAAGATCTATACGAATCTGGTATTTACAAAACAATACTCACCTCTCGGATCTGTCCCATAGCATAATATACAAAGCCTCTTCTTTTCGACCTATAATGTAAAGTGAGTCCTTGCCTAGTTTCATTTTCACATATAAAACTGGGTGCTCTCATTCTTGGATAACTGAATTTCAAGTACTCGTGGAGGTTGTCAAGTCCATTTAGGAAGTCCCTCATGTGTCTACCTAAAACTGATAGAACTCTATCATAACCATACTGTGACACAAATCCGACGAAGTACACACCCATCTGGTCCATAAATTCACGTTCTGTTATTCCTAATATCTGCAACAATTAATTATTAATAACGTTATAATTTAAATTATTGACAAATAATTATTTGTTATTAATGTAGAACATTAGACTCAGAAACGCCTGAAAACATAACTAAGCAATGTTGCATTTCCAACATTATGTTGTTACGAATTTTACAAAACTAACTCGGTTTTCAATTTACGGTTTTTATTATTATTTATTTTTAAAAGAATATTATAAGAGAAATGAAAGAATAAGTATTTGTATGGGCTAAGTAAATTATATATATTTAGATACATGTTCAATTTTAACATAAACATTTACATGTTAATAAAAATATAATGCGTTTAGTTCTTTACTATAATCACAGATAACATAATATTACTTAGTATAGTTACGCCCAATTTATATTAAATTTTATATATATTTTTTGTAATGTAATGACAACAGAAAGTGATCAGTAATTTCGCAATAAAACTTTAACGGGGGTGTAACTCAGTGGTAGAGTGTCTGCTTCGCATGCTGAAAGTCCTGGGTTCAAATCCCAGCACCTCCATATCTCTTTTTGTGCTTTTGTTAGTAGTCATTATATTTCTTAAACATTTTATTATTTAGGTTTTTTTATATTTTTGTGTTTTTAAAATCTTTTAATATATTTCTCATTAACTTACTGATGTTTAATACTTATAGGACACAGACTTACAAAGTAAATTTTCTATTTTTTTGTTATTTATTTTTCTTTTAAAATAAAATATAGTACATTAAAATTTAAATATAGAAATAGAAAATTAACGTATATAAAATACAAAAAAAATTCTGGCCCATGAGGGGATCGAACCCGCGACCTTCGCGTTATTAGCACGACGCTCTAACCAACTGAGCTAATGGGCCAACGAACATTTTTCTGAAATATTAGTTGAGTATGTTATGTACATACCTACATACAACGACATACTCTACACGAAAATATAAAATTTTAAGTGATAAGTATCATATAAGTACGGTAATTAATGTTTATAATGTTGCCCATATTGACTAATAAATGCAATTAAATTATTCTAAAATTAATAATATTTTATTAATAAAAATTTTGATATTATGCTTGTTTGACACCGCAGTAGGTAGTATAAAAAAATATTATACATTTCATGGATAGTTTTTTACAATATTAAATTATAAGTAACATATCTAGTTACACAAAATACTCGCGTTTCCTAAATTATTTATATAATAATGTCTATGATAGTATAACATACATAATATTTATGAGAAAAAATTGCAATTCTATATTACAAAGAACAATAAATAATAACTACATTAATATCTAGAGATTGTATCGTGACTTACATACCTCTTGTGCCTTTTTTGCTAATCTTGTAATCAAATTTTCGGGGTATACTTGATGAACGGAGAAGGACGGCTGTTCGACATCGGCTTGTCGCCTGATGTCTTCCCAGCGCTCTTCACCGTAGGTTTGCCGGATGTACTCCGCCATATTCTCTAATAGTAGCCCGTACATGATGTCTGGGGAAAGAAATAGATGTTATTACAAGAAGCAAAGTTGTTTGTTAGCGGATGAATTATAGAAATATGAATATAATATATTATAAATTTAATTTCGGTGTCGAGACCCTTGGTCCGTGGGGTCCTAGCGCTATAAGACTTTTCAAAGAAATAACAAAAAGGTTAGTCGACATCACAGAAGACCGAAAAGCTGGCAGCTACCTTGGACAAAGAATTAGTCTAGCTATTCAAAGAGGGAACGCTGCCAGTATCTTCGGTACGTTTTGCCTAAAGGGACCCCTTTTAATAATATATTTTAGTCATCATATTATATTTTTTTAAGCTTTTTAATTTTAGGTTCTTAGTTGTACAATTAGGTTATGTAAATAATAAATTAATATTATAAATAAAAAGTTTGTCAACAGTGCTTATTCAAGTTACAGACAGTAAAGGCAGGATAACTTGAACAGAATAAAAATATGAATGTTTACTTAACGATCGGATATTCGTTTGCACCATAAACCTTCCTGAAGAAGGTACCCCGTATTTATTATTAATAAGTTAACAGGAGTGTTGGGGAGTGTTATGGATTTCTCAGTTGGTTATTATGGTGATTGTAATAAAACTAGGTAATTGTGGATAAATGAAATTAATTTGCTTCCGTATATTGTGAAAAGATCAAATGCAATGAAAAAACAAAAGAAGAACAGTGACAGGAACATTTAAAAGTATATGGCTATAAAAAAGTATTAACAAGGAGGTTTTAATCTCCAACATGCCCCCGGGCGTTGAAAGCCTTGACTTTCAACCATCTTCAGACTCAAGAAGTGGACGAGATATATGTGAGAATGACTTGCAGACAATTCCAGTATCTGTCTTGATATCAGCAACTAGACTAATTGCGTCCTCCTGCTTCAATGATAATTAAACGTCTCAACTTCTACTTAAATAACGGAAGATTGTCCTCTCATCTCTCATCTTAGGACAATGACCACCTTGAAAATATCGGTGATTGTTCGCCATATAATGCGCTACTACAATTCTGATACAATACTCCAACGGGACGAAATAATGTTGAAATAGTTGCTTAATTCGCTGGAATCGCTTCTAATGATAATGAGGACCTTGTATGTAGCTTGGCGCCAGCAATGATGTCAAAACATCCGTTGAGGGAATGTGTTAGCGGCTTCTAATCTTCTGGGTCTGATGCTGACAGAGTGAGCAGTCGAGAATTCAATACGTCCTTGACTTGAACCAAAACAGTGTTGAGCTCTTCATAAGCTAAATGACAATTTCCCAACACTCTTTTCAATTCAAATTTTGATTTTACGCCCGATTCCCAGAGACTACAATATAATAAAAGCCGGTATTAAATGAAATATTAAATCCTCATTGGCTGCACCAGAAATCAAAGAATTGCAGATGTTCTTCAAAAAATTTTGATAAATAATATGCCCCCTTAAATGAAGTACAATTGTCGGAATATATGAACATATCATGTGGATTTCCCATACTAGATGTAAATTTACGTAAACCTAGTAATAATTGTACTCGTCACTTCCTACCTTACTAAATGATTCATTTTCTAAATGAATGGTATTAGTTAACATATACTTTTACAAGCCTACAGACACGGTACTGACGAGTAGCTACAGTGAATGGATTTGCTTAATCCAAACCAACAGTTTTAAAAGGCAAAATTCCAGATGAAATCCGAAATTAACTATAAATAAATAGGTATACTTATTACTCATAAAAGGAGATATTGTTTTACCCTTCGTACGAATATATAGTACAACATATTAATGAAGGCAGTTTGTAAATCTATTAGTGGACTGTATAATAACATTAGGTGCTTTTGTTATATTTAAAATTTTTATTTATTTATTTAAGACGAAGCATTAATTCTAAACATTAACAATGGATACTTTTTATGTAAAATCATTAATTTTATTAATCATATATTTGTCTAAATAATATAATATATCTATTAGTATTGCTTAACTATAATTAAAGTTAAAATTAATGCTCTTTTATTTTACTATCCGTAAGGATAACAGTTTCTTTAACAGTTTTATTCGTAAGTAAATTCTAAGATAAAGGTAGCAGTAAATTATAACCTTAGAAAATATTAAATTGGATATTAAAATTATGTTGACAGTTTTAAACATTGATGTGGAATAATATTTCAACCTTACCACATTTGTCAACACTATAAACATATAAACAAGAGTCATAAAATTATAGACTTTAGTAAAAATATGCAATTCAATAAACTTATATGAATCATACATGAGTACACGACATGTCGTGGTATTTGCATATTATTGAGAGCAAACAAATTATAATTAATCTCAATCCAGATATGACCAATATCTGGTGACATTTGCTTATCCCAGGTGACCCTGAGTACACATAACGTTTTTGTCGTGGTATTTGCATATTATTTAGAGCAAACAAATTATAATTAATCTCAATCCAGATATGACCAATATCTGGTGACATTTGCTTATCCCAGGTGACCCTGAGTACACATAACGTTTTTAACAATAATTTTATCATATTAACACAAAATATCATAATTTGTATGTCCTTTAGGATCCAACTTAACTATACAAAAATATAATACGTCCAAGCTAAATAGTAAAAGGCTGTATAAACCTGGTTGCCAACCGAACCTTAAAGTCTTACTTGACTCATCAGTCATACCGATATTTAAATTTACTAGAGTGTCATTAAAATCACATGGAATTGGATTACTATATTTCCATTTCCGTAAATTCATGACTGCTGAAAGAAGTGCAGAGCTGACCTGCTCACGAATTTGCTTAACCTCATCAATATCATCCCCACCAGTGAGCATGTCAGCGACATTGAAATCATGAATAAATATGTCACGGATTTTATCATCTTTACACTCTAAATCAATATATAACTGATACAACTTAAAACGTTTAAATGGATAGCCATACAATAAAATTGGTTGTAAGTATCTATAGTCGGAATGTAGAACAATTTGCCTGTACATCTTCTCTGCACATGGATCTATGATGTACTTATATTGCTTAAACCAAAAAGATATAGACCTAAGATAATTGTATATAGCGGGTCCGACATATTTTAAATTATTATAAGAAATACTTAATGAAGTAGGACTACTTTCACGCAGAACTCTATGACATGGAGAATAATATTGTACAGAATCCGAATTGTTATTAAAACATTTGATCATATGACCTAAAGATTCATATTCTGACATGAAATCAAGTGTACATTATTTTAAGTATAAGTTTACTCACTTTCCTATGCTCTATTGAAAAATAATATTTAGCTCACTGAAATGAATCGCTTAACATGATAGGTTTTGTTTCAGTGGTATCCTTTCACAAAATCGACCATCTTTCAAACGAGTAATATTTTTAATAAAACGTTCTTCACATAACTTTTCTTCAACGGAATAATTAGATGACTGAGGACAGACTTGTTCGAACTGACAGAACTGCGTTAATTGAGTTGGAGTGTCATCGTGTATAGAAGAAAAATTACATTTTATATAGATAGATAGATAGATAGATAGATATATCGTTTATTTGTTTGTTACTAATCACACACAACATATTCATAGGAATATAAAATACATAATACAACATAAGATTTATAAAATTGTGTTATTATGTGTGATCTGTAGCAATACAAAAAGGTCAAAGCTCAGCGTGGAACATTGTTCAAGGAACAAAACACTGATTTTTAGCTTTAACCCATTTGAGGGTACGTGAAAATAATAATTAAAATAAATATAAAATAAAAAGGAGCAATATTATTGGTGATTGTCTGTGCGGTGTGTGTATAATAAAAATAATGTAAATAGTTCAGAGTATAGTTTACTAGGTGGTAAGGATTAAAAAAGAAAAAAGAAAATATTAATAAGAGTAACATAAAAAAAAAAAATTAAAAATCATTACGTGAGATTGCAACCGCTAGCCAAGAAATTTCTGTGGAATGCCTAAAATTTGTTTTTCTAATAAGTATTCTTTGTGATGTTTTTTAAAACTGTGTACGGTAGTCAGATGCCTAAATGGTGGCGGGATGTTGTTCCAACATTTTGTTGCTTGGTAGCGGAAGCTGCCATTAAATGCCACAGTTCTGTGTACTTGAAATGATAATTTCGAACAAATGAATCTGCATCCATACATACGAGAAGAGAAATTTAGTTTTTTAAAGAGATAAACTGGTTGTTTCTTTTTATTACATCGAACAATAGACTAGCCAGGTGTAACTGTCTTCGCGATTCCATAATTAAAATTGAAGCATTGTTTAAATAGGGACTAATATGGCTTCGGGGGGGAATATTAAAGCAAAAACGACAACATGCATTTTGCACTCTTTGAGTCAGGCGTTGAGTTCTGGCCAATAGTCGTGGTCCATATACAATGTCTCCATAATTAAATTTGGATAAGATTAATGATTCGCATAGTGTAATACGAACTCTTTCCGATAATAAATTACGAATTTTATATAGGACCTTAAGGCGATAAAAACATTGTTGTACTACATTTAATATATGCTTTTCAAATTGCAGCCGACTATCAAAAATAATCCCCAAGTTTCGCGCTTCTTCAACTCGTTCTATATTCTGATCCAGGATATTTACTGTAATATTTTTGTTTATTATGTCAGTAATTTGTTTTTTTTGATCCAAGAATCATATATTTTGTTTTGTTGGGATTAATAACCAATGCATTTTCTTGTGACCAGGCAGCAATTTTCTCCAAGTCCCTATTAAGTTTATGAGCAGCGTCAGTAATCGCAGCGGGTGTTCCAGAGATATAAATTTGTATATCATCAGCGTAACAATGAAAATTACAACAGTGCTGACATTGAAAATGCAATAAACTATTGCATTTTCAATGTCAGCACAATAAATAATGAAAAGAAGTGGCCCGAGTATCGAACCCTGAGGTACTCCACGGTCTACCAGCTTAGGCTCTGACACTGAGTAGGAACCATCCAGCTTTT